CACAGGTGGGCAAACAGGCACGGCCCCCACGCTGTGCCAGGGGAGGCTCAGGCTGGATATTGAGGACATCGGTGGAGTCCCCAGCCCTGGAGGGATTCACAGCCGTGGGGATGTGGCACCTGGGGACGTGGGGCAGTGGTGGCACTGGGGACGTGGGGCAGTGGTGGCACCTGGGGACGTGGGGCAGTGGTGGCACTGGGGACGTGGGGCAGTGGTGGCACTGGGGACGTGGGGCAGTGGTGGCACTGGGGACGTGGGGCAGTGGTGGCCTCGGGGACGTGGGGCAGTGGTGGCATTGGGGACGTGGGCAGTGGTGGCCTTGGCAGTGCTGGGGGAACAGGGACTCGACAGTCTCAGATGTTTCTCCAACCTCAACAATTCCACGATTCCATCCTCTGCAGAGGGTCCCCAGAGCACACCTGGCCTGGCCTTGATGCAGAAGGGGGGGATGACACCCTCAGGTTGGCCGTGCCCTACACACCTGGTGCAGGTGATGATGAGGGGAAGGTGCTCTGAGAGCAGAAACAGCAGCTCTTGAGCATCCGTGCTGCTGCTCCACATCCTGCTCTCTTGACCTCAGGACGTGTGGTGTTCGCCCCAGAGCTATTATGGGCTGTTACACTGTGTTCCACAGCCCCGGGCTCTTCTTTCTGGGAGAAAACACTTACAGGTTAAATATATCCCGAGGTTCTGTGGGTGAGGAGAGAAACACAAACCCACATCGTGGAGAAGATACGAGGGGGGATGTCCCAATTCTGCTCCCTGGGATGGCAGAGCCTGGCCGTGGCTCTGGTGAGAGAGGCAGGAGGGACCCCCTGAGCCCACGTCTGGTGTGAACTGGCCCCAAATCTGCGAGAGAAGCAGAAGAAAAGCAAATAACCCTGTGAGGTTGGTGTGGAGCTGAGCTCTGCCGCTCTCTGATCTCTTGGGGGGGGGTTTAGTGGTCTGGTTTGAGGGTGAAAGGGGGAAGGACAAAGCCCAGCGCTGAGGACAGGGGTGGAGTCCCAAAGGAGGCTTTTGGGGAAGCCACTGCTGCCCTTTCCTGCTGGAATCTGCTCTGACACCATTCCTGTGGGAACCAAACAATTCCCGCCCCCCTCACCTCAGAGCTCTGCTCAGTCAGGACCCCTGTCTGTGGGGTCCCACAGCTCCCCCCTGCAGCACTCACGGGGGTTGGAGATGGGGGGAGTCTGTGAGACACGGGGCTGCGGGGGGGTCCCAAGCTCGGGGTCGGCAGGACCCTGGGGGTCACACGGGGAGCTGATGTCACCCAGACCCAGCTGGGGCGGTTCCCATGGTGGGGGCTCAGCTCTGGTGGGCCCTGCCTGGTCCAGTCCAGAGCAGTGCCAGGGCTCTGTGCTCAGGTGCACCAAGGAGTGGGGGGACAGTCCCCCCCGCCCGCTGCAGGCACTGGGAAGAAAAGAGCCTGTGGGTAAATAAAAATGATTTAAAAAGCCCTGAGAACAATGGTGCAGCAGCTGTGGCTGCCCGGTTTGGGGTGGGAGCCGCGGGGCTGAGCCTGGGAAAGCAGCAGGTGAGGGGCTCAGGGCAGGGAGCAGGGCTGTGCCCAGCTGTGCTGAGCTGTGCTGAGCTGTGCAACCCTCCTGTAAGTCTGTCCCTGTCACTCTTGTCATTGCCAGCCCTGGGGGGATGAGCAGCTCGGGGGACGGGGCAGTGAATCATGGAAGGGTTTGAGTTGGGAGGGACCTTAAAGCCCATCCAGTCCCACCCCTGCCATGGACAGGGACACCTTCCACCAGCCCAGGTTGCTCCAAGTCCCGTCCAACCTGGCCTTGGACACTTCAGGTCCATCTCCTTAAGGCTCAGCTGAAGCCAGACCCAGCTGCAGCCGTGGTGCAAACGCCCCTTACCCTGAGGGGACGGTGAGGTCTTGGTGAGGGGCTGCCTCAGGACATGCCACGGACACCCCTCATGTCCTGGAGGACAGACGGGGCTTGTGTCCCACTCTGTGCCAGGCTGCAGTACATCCTTGCCCTCTCTGCCCTGGTCTTCCTCCACAGCATCTGCCTGGACCCTCTTGGTGCCCCCCACATCTGCCCAGTGCCTGTGGGGTCTGGGTGATGCCACCACAGTCTCTGGGTGATCCCACCGGGAGCCCTGTGGAGCTGCTGGGCTGCAGGACCATTTCTTGCCTCACAGGGACCTCTGGAGTCACCCTCCCAAAGTCTCAGCATTTCTCCAGTCACACACAAGCCGTGCTGCCCGGTCTCACCTCTCCTGTGCAGGCTGGAGCACCCCAAGGAGCTCTGTGGGCTCCTCTTCCTCACACCAGCCCCAGAGAGACCCTGTGAGTGTCCCAGCTCTGGGGACAGTAGGGGCAACCCCCGTGTCCTGCTCCTCACAGTGACACCCTCTATTTCTGGGACTCCATCCCTGCTCCTGGGCTCTGCTCAGCCCCGGCCATGCCGGGTACCCCGAGCGTTCCTGCTGTACCCCACAGAGGTTCCTGGAAACCAGCCCAAGGTGGGAAGTGTCCACAGCAGGGAGGAAACCTGGAGCTCCTTGTACAAGCCCCGTGTTTGGGGTGCAGAGCAGCACATCCTCCGTTCTGTAGAATCACAGAATCACTAAGCTTGGAAAAGATCCCCGAGGTCACAGAGTCCAACCTGCAATGGAAAAATTTCCCCTACAGCTCCCAGTTGGCCAGGACAGGGTGGTTCAGTGCTGGCACCGGGGACGGAGGAGCCGCTGCCCACCCTGGGAGAGCTCAGAGCATCATCCAAATCCCTTCCTAAAGCCAAAGTGAGGGGAATCCAGTCCAAATGCTGCAATTTGAGATGCACGAGGCGTCAGAGGAGAGACGATACTGATGTTTTAATGCTCTCACTCTTTGCCTGGCTCCCGTTGAACATTTCCACGGCTGCTGCGGCCGTGATGGTGCCTTGTCAGAGAGTTGTTGCCTTTCTTGGATCCTGGATCCTTCTGCAAGACCAGGACCTCTCTCTCCTCTCCTGCTGCCTTCTGACCCCAGGAGCCATGGGGAGGCATTCCCTGTCTCTGGGGGAGGAGGGAGATGTGTCCCAGGGAAAAGGGCCCTGGAGGGATGGGGTGGAGGGGCCAGGGCTGGGGGCAGTGTTGCTGGGTGGGGCAGGGCACTGCTCAGAATTGTCTTCTCTGACAGTTTTGGACTTGATGATCTTAGGGGTCACAGAATCATGGAATCTCTGACTGATTTGAGTGGGAAGGGACTTAAAAGCTTATCCTGTTCCACCCCCTGCCATGGGCAGGGACACCTTCCACCAGCCCAGGGTGCTCCA